AGAGAGAGAGAGAGAGAGAGAGAGAGAGAGAGAGAGAGAGAGAGAGAGCTTGGTGACATTTGGATCCAGACTCGACATTGGACTCAGACATTTTGACGAGGGATTATTTGGGACTTGTAACGAGACTTGCTGTTGATGACTTTCCCATCTCTCCCCTCCTCCTCGTCTGATCCCCTCCTCTTCGTCTATGCATGGCTGGACCTGGCGCCTCTTCCTGTGTATAGCACCAGGCCCCTTCACACCTTGTGGTGAGAATGATGTATGTTTAGTCTGCATTGAGACATTGATTGGGCTCGTCATTAGTATTCTAGCCTTCTGCTTCGCTATCTTGTACTACGTAAAGGAGGTCAGTCCCAGTCAGGTCAGGACTTGTATCTAAGTCTTCCACTGCGCTATCAAGCACCATTTTTGTATGTATCGGAATGCACACTGCTTGTTGAGATTCTACTTGCACTGCATTGTCCGTTCAGTCCTTTTTATCACATTGCGGATCCTCGGTTATTATGTACATCGCCCAACTGGGCATGTAACAGTTGGTATCGGACCAGCGCACGTGAATCAGGACAACCTGATCTGACACGTGTGCGGGGACTGAGTAGCTGATTAGTCTTGATTGATTGATTGATTAGAGCACACTAGTTAGCCCCCAAAATCACGATTTTGACCTCACTGCTGAAAATCGAATTTTTTTTTTCTTTTCTTGGATTTTGTTTTCTCACTATTTCTGTTGTGGAAAATCGCAATAGCGCAACATTTGAAATTTCCGATTTCGTTTTTCTTCTGAAAATTCAAAATTTCGTTGTTGAAAATCTGGAATATCTTCTTTTTCGAAAATTTCGATTTCCTTTTGCAATTTCCCGTTATTTGGAAATCCGGAATATTTTTATTCCGAAATCCGTTTTTTTGAAAACGGTACGGGAATCCCTCTTGCAGTCATCATTCTCCAACTGCGCGTACTCTCATCTGAGTAATTCCGATTTTTTTTTTGTACTTCTTTTATCAGAAAATCATCTGCAGTCTGAAAGTTCAAAATTTCTTCTCATTGATAATTTCGCACTTCAGGGGAATTGGGGGGCCTACTGAACTTGCAAATGAGTTCTTTTCTTTTTCTCGATTTTTTTTGCAAAGTTCAAACTTTTCTTTGTTTTGATTAGTGGCTCCTTATCTGGGCGATTTATCCCACCCCTCCCCACCTATGTTGTTGCCCCTTCTGGTCTTCTCTATCTGCCTCCGGGTACCCCCTGCGGCGGCATTGGTAAGTTGCCACGGCAGCAGTGCCACATCAGCAACCAGTCACACAGCAGCAGGTTACGTCAGTGCATGGTACTGACCCACTCAAAGACAAGCGGCATGGATCGACAGCCAGGCAAGACTACCGAGGCCTATGAGGCCCGCATGCTGGACAAGAGTACAAGCAACGGGCAGCTGCGGCAACATCCGCACGTAAGAAGGAAGATGAGGAAGCAGAAGAACAACGTCGCCTCGCTGAACAGCAGCGACAGGCGGACGCTGAGGCAGCAACGAAGGCCGCAGACGAACGCAGTCGACTACGCCGAGACAAACTCCTCGAATGTGAGGGGGATATCGTGGTGATCGTCGGCGAATGGGCAGTGGCTGCTGAAGAGGAGGGTGCCCCCTCTGCTGTGCGTGGCCTTGCAACCACAATAGAACATGTGAGCGATTTGGTCGCCACCTGTGCAGCACAGCAAGAGGACATCCTCTGCATGGACATCCTGGTCCGGAAGCAGATTCGAACTATCGATGGACTGCTGGACCGGGTACGGTGGCTGGAACAGCAGCTTGCAACAGCCMCCCCCGCCGGACCCTCCAACTTAACGGACCACGTCAACGTCTTGGAAATCGATGAAGAGACTCTCAAGGATGGCGCTCTAACGACAAATCAGCGTATTGACCAGCAGATTTGTGCCGCCGCAGCCAGTCCGGCCGCAACTAATCGCGAGAGCATCCCGAAGTTTGACGGCCTCCCGATCTTCTGTGATGCAACGAAGACGAACCCGATCCCATGGTGGCGGCAGTTCAAGCTGAAGTTGGACATTCACCACGTCATCAACCCGAACCGGCATGCATACTTATACTCCCGCTCAGGAGGCGTGTGTCAGGCATGGCTGGACAACATGGTGTCCACGCACAACGTCGCAGTCTCCGAGCTGCATACGAAGATCAGCTGGGCTGATCTCAAGGCAGCATGGCATAAGCGGTTCCAAGTGGAGCCGCCCAAGCTTCAGGCAGCTGAGAAACTTCAACGGTTTTATCCGAACGACCTGCCAAGCACGAACTGGATCACCGAGTACCAACGCTTGGCATCCATGCCCAACTTGCCGTTGACATTTGTCGCTATCAAGCACTTCTTCATCAGGAGGAGTTGCCCGGCGTTGCAGAACGCCTTGACGCAAGTTGCGGAGACGCTCACCACAAGTGAGCAGCTTTTTTATAAAGTCTCGCAGATCATCGTGACGAACATAGAAGCCAAGAATTTGGGTCATTCGTCTGCTGCAGGCCAGGGCAGAGGACAGCATCGGCCAAAAGTGGTCGTGGTCGCAGCAACTACAGCGACCAACCCTTCAAACGAGGCTGCCTCTTCTGAGGAAGGAGACAGATTGGCAGCCGCCCGAGATGGTGGCTGCCCCACCAGAGGGCGAGGACGCGGCAAACCGAAGACACACACCAATTCAGCCCCCGGGGCCAGACCAGTGGCTCAAGAGCCTTGGACACATTACGGTATGTCGGAAGGCGTGTACCGCATCCGGTCTAAGTATCGATACTGCTTGTGGTGCAACAGCGCGGTGCACGACACCGCAACGTGCCCCACGCCAGTCCAAGGCAAATCCCCTTCGGGAAAGTGAGCACCGCCGAGAGTGATGCGGCTGCACTCTCAACGCCTTCGGAATCGGTTGCTTCGCGAGCGACCTCTCTTCATCCCGAGGCACATGCGGAAGTCGATAGTCCTCTCTTGTATTCTTATGAAGACTATGCTGCCCGACTCGTTCCTTCGCTGGGTTCTCAAGCTCAAGGACAAGATGTGGGTGCGGCTTCTTCTCTGTCCGACAACAACAACAATGGATCGTCTTCAAGTGGTTCTTCAAGGGATTCGACGCACGAGTTCAACATAGAGGTCTTGGACCTGTTGACGTCCGAGGATTTTGCATGGCTTCCTCTCCCTTCCACAGGCTGCTTGTCGGGACCGCAATGCGCAACACTATGCGACCATCTCCATACATAACTTAGCCTTTTATACACCACCATCTTCGCCGATGGATGACGAAGCTGCGGTGGGGGACATCCTTGCGTATGTTACCAAGGTGGCCCGCGAGTTTCGCATGCAGCGGTACGATGATAACAACGCACCGCTCCTTTATGTCCGCATCCAAGTTGGGAAAGCGTCCTGCAGCGCCTTGCTGGACAGCAGCGCGACTCGCAATTTTATCAGCCAGTCCTTTATCCAAAGGTCCGGCCTTGGCGCTCAAGTTCGAAGGAAGTCAAACCTGACGACGATTAAGTTGGCGGACAGTCGGACGCAACAACTCCTCGATCACTACATTGAAGCCGTGTCGGTTTATTTCGCACCTCATGCCTGTGAACCGGTAACGTTTGACGTCTTAGACACAAATTTCAACATTATTTTGGGGATGCCTTGGCTTGCAAGTGCGGATCACACGGTTAACTTCCATCAGAAGACACTTACCGTTCGCGACGCCTTCGGCGCCGAGGTGCCGTGTACCATTCGTCTTCCGCGCTCCTCGATCCGGTGCCAAGTTGTAACGACCAAGTCTTTTCGGGCCACTTGCGCTTACGAGCAGACCGACGAGATAGGCGTATGCTTTTTACGAGCCGCCGCGACGACCGAATCTTCACCTATGGACTTGTCTTCGGACCCCTGAGTGGTGCGGCTACTGGACGAGTTCATCGACATCTTCGAGTCTCCTACCGGTGTGGTGCCGGATCGGCCGATCTCCCATGAGATCATTCTTGAGGCCGGTGCCGTGCCGCCGAAAGGATGCATCTATCGCATGCGTGAGGAAGAGCTCGAGGTTCTCCGCGCTCAACTCGACGATCTTTTGGACAAGGGATGGATCCACCCTAGTAGCTCACCATATGGTGCGCCAGTTCTCTTCGTACGGAAGAAGAACAAGGATCTTCGCTTGTGCATCGACTACCGCAAGCTCAACGCACAAACCGTCAAGAATGCGAAACCTCTTCCATGGATTGACGACCTTCTCGAGCATTTGGGCAGCGCAAAATTCTTCTCAAAGTTGGAATTGAAGTCGGGCTACCATCAAATCTCGATACGTCGCAAGATTGCTACAAATCCGTGTTCAAGACGCGGTACGGGCATTTTGAGTGGATCGTTATGCCTTTTGGCCTCACCAATGCCCCGGCGACCTTTCAAGCGGCAATGACCAACGAGTTCTGTGCGATGCTAGACCGGTTTGTACTAGTCTACTTAGACGACATTCTCGTCTATAGCCGAACATTGGAGGATCATCTTGAGCACCTTCGACGAGTGTTGGAGACGCTCCGCCGCGCCAAGTACAAAGCCAACCGCGACAAGTGCGAATTTGTCCGGCAAGAGCTGGAATACTTGGGCCATTTTGTCACACCGGAGGGCATCAGTTCGTTGTCGGACAAGATTCAAGCCATCCAGGAGTGGCCGGAGCCGAAGACCGTCACAAATGTCCGTTCCTTGGCTTAGCCGGCTATTATCAATGCTTCACCAAGGGATACTCGAAGATCGCGGCTCCTTTATCCAAGCTTCAGTGCGAGGACCGGCCATTCGACTTCGACGACTATGCGCAGACTTCATTTTTGGCTCTCAAAGCCGCATTGCTATCCGCGGAGGTGTTGCGCATCTACGATCCGCTTTTGCCGACACGTGTCACCACCGATGCGTCCGGCTATGGCATTGGTGCCGTCCTCGAGCAACATGACGGTGTGGACTGGCACCCGATCAAGTACTTCAGCAAGAAAGTGCCCACCGTTCACTCGATTGACGATGCACGGAAGAAGGAATTATTGGCCTTCGTACACGCGCTCAAGCGCTGGCGGCATTTTCTTCTCGGACGACGGCAGTTCCGATGGGTAACGGATAACAATCCATTGGTCTTCTACAAGACCCAAGACACGGTCAATAGCACCATTGCACGTTGGATGACCTTCATCGACCAGTTTGACTTTTTCCCCGACCACATTCCGGGCAAGTCAAACTGTTTTGCGGATGCTCTTTCACGGCGTCCGGACCATTGTACCGCAGTCTACTCGACTTTTGAGATTAACGACGACTTGCGGGACAGCTTCATCCGCGACTACCAAGTCGACCCCAAATTTTGCGACAAGTACGCAAATTGCTCCTCTCCTAATCCGGCGCCATCGCACTATTAGATCCAACAGGGTACTTGCTCGTCCACTCGCGAGGGAAGGATCTTCTTTGTGTGCCACGAGATTTACACTTACGCACACGGCTTCTTGGCGAGTTCCACGACGCCCCCGCCACCGGACACTTTGGAGTCAATTGCACGATTGGCCGACTCCACGAGCGCTTTTGGTGGCCCAGTCTTCTCGACGACGTCACGCGCTCTTGCGAGTCATGCGAGGTTTGCCAACGTTACAAATCCCGCAATCATCATCCGTACGACGAACTGCGACCATTACCGGTCCCCTTGCGCCGAAGGGAAGCGATTGCCATGGACATTACCGGGCCGTTTCCCAAGCACAAGACGGGTGTGGACGGGATTCTCACGGTGGTTGACCGACTCACCAAGTTTGCCATGTTTTTGCCTTGCCGCTATCACGCCAAGGCACCGGAGTTGGTCGAGGTTCTCTACGCCGGTTGGATTCGAACCAAGGGTTACCCCAAGGAGATCGTCTGCGACCGCGACACTCGGTTCATGTCCGATTTTTGGTTGGCGCTCATCAAACGATGGGGCTCATCCCTCAAGCCGAGTTCGGCTCGCCACCCCCAAACCGATGGCCAAACGGAGAGAGCACATCAGACTGCACAGGTCCTTCTTCGCACTCTCATCCGTCCCGGCTAAAAGGATTGGGTCGAGCGGCTGCCGGATATCGAGTCGGCATACAACTCGTCCATCCACCCGGCTATCGGGATGTCGCCCTTCGAGTTCGAGCACGACTCGCCGGTCACTTCTCCGTTGGACACAATCATTCCACGAATGGCCGAGAGCGACGACCATTTTCTTTTCTTGCGTCGGATGCAAGAGCTATTTGTCAAGGTACGCGACCAAATGACCAAGACGCAGCAATGCATGAGCCAACAGGCCAATCGTCAGCGTCTTCCTTGCCCATTCCGCGTCGGTGATCTTGTTTGGGTTTCCGCCGCGGAATTCAGCCTTGAACAAGATATCTCTTGCAAGCTCCTCCCGAAATGGATGGGGTCTTGCCCGATCGTGGCATCCGCAGGGGATGCACCCGAGGGACCTTCCTTCACCATTCAGGTGCCCGCCCACTTGCCCGTCTGCCCGGTCTTTCATTGCTCCAAATTGGCTCTTTACACGCCAGCGGAACATGACGATTTTCCCAGGCGACAATCGCAAGACCCACCCTTTATGGATGGTTTTCAAGAGGTCGGCGACATCATCTCCCAGCGACGCTACGGCAACAGGCCAACCGAGTACTTGGTATATTTTGCGTATTGCAGTCAGAAAGCTGACCATTGGTTAACCCATGCTGAACTCCAAGCCACAACTCCGGATGTTCTCGCACGCTACGAACGAAAGATGCAAGGCAAGCCAGTATCTTTGGCTCCACGTCGCACCCGCATCCACGTTCCACCTTCAGATCGTCAGCTTCGCCCTCGCCCCGGCTTGACTTCATAAGGAGGGGGGGGTGTTACATGCTGCGCCTGCAACAGGCTGCACGGGCCATTTCCAGGCCCGTGACGTTTTCAGGCCAAAAGCCTGAAAACAAGAGCCTACAGGCCCTGTGTCGTTTCAGCCTGAAAGCCTGAAAACGAGGGCCTACAGGCCCTGTGTCGTTTCAGGCTAAATCAGGGCCTTTCCGGCCCTGAGCGTTTTCAGCCTGAAACTGAGGGCCATTTCCGGGCCCTCATGAGTTCGGCCTGCCCCGAAACTCAGGCACCAGACCAGGGTTTTAGCTCAGGTCATTTCTGGCCTATTTTCAAGACAACCTTTATTTGAGCTTCAACCTCAGGGTCTGGCATGTTGAGGCATTGGCAAGAGCAGCTTCCTGGACGGGCCAGCACTATATAGGACTGGCCCGCCCTGCAGGCAGGTAGGTAGTTCATTGGTACTTCCCAGGCACTTCACGTGCAATTCAGGAGGTGGGAGGTAGTCTTCAGGATTCAGCAGCAGCACTCTGGAGGAGCGCTGCAGTAGTATTAGCGCTAGCAGTAGTCTTCAGCGCTGGGCGCCATAGCTAGAGTAGTACCATAGAGAGAGAGATTGGGCGGAGGCCAGAGGGACTTACCTGCAGCGCCGTTGCTCCAGCTTCGTCTTCAAGGTACCGGCAGCACAGCGCCACCTTCACAGGTTAGTACCTGGCTTATGAGAGAGAGAGAGAGAGAGAGTTCTTCTTCTTCCTCTTCTCAGTCCACCATCTCCCTCTCACCCTCTCGATATC